TAAATTAAAATAATATAATATGTAATATTTAAAAAATAAAATTAAAGATATTTATTTATTTCTAAATTATAAAAAAATATAATTTAAAAATTCAAAAATATTTAAATATATGAATATTAAGTAATATAAAATAAAAATATTGATGATAATAATGTACATTAATATATTATAATAATAAACATATTTTTATTGTAGATCATATTATCAAATATAATTTTTAATAATCAATTTGATTTAATCTTATCTTTAAATGATACTTGAATAATGATAATATGTGTGAAGTTAGCTACTAGAAATTGGTAATCACAGCAAAGAAATAAAAAGTAACCATTTTTCATATAATAAGACTGTTTACTGTTAAGGAAATCGTTATTTTCGTTTTTTATAATCATTGTTTTATGTAAATGAAATATCTATGAATTATATTTAATGCTATTTATAAGTCAACAAGAAGACTAGTGTTTTTATTACAGGTCATAAAGTTATATCTACTATATTTATGATTCATCAAATAATATAAAATAACCTCGATATGAAATTTGACATTTGACGACATATTTAACGTATGTGCATTATCACAAATATAATGGAAGTTATTTAATTGTAGAATTATATTATATTATTTAATTATATGTTACAGGTCAAAATAATTAATCAATCACTTTTTACAGAAGAAAAGTTATCAAAATCAGTTTTAATTAATTCTTAAGTTTGACATTATTAATTCAAGATGAAGAAAAAAGTACACAAATTTTGTTTTTATTTTTTGTATAGAATTAAAATTATTTAATAATTTATTTATTTATATATTAGTTTTTTATGTTTTATATATGATCATTATTTATTTTATAGGTTTTGTTGATGGGTAAAAGTGGTTCAGGAAAAACCAGTATGCGTAGCATAATTTTTGCTAATTATATTGCTCGTGATACTCGTCGTTTGGGAGCAACAAGTATGTAATATTTGAATATTGTTATTTTATTAAATATTATATTTTATATTATATACACATATATTTATTAATTTATTATATTTAATAGTTGATGTAGAACATAGTCATGTTCGATTTCTTGGTAATTTGGTATTAAATCTTTGGGATTGTGGTGGTCAAGAAGCATTTATGGAAAATTATTTTGCATCACAACGTGATAATATATTTAGAAATGTAGAAGTTCTGATCTATGTTTTTGATGTAGAATCCAGAGAATTAGATAAAGATATGCATTATTATCAAAGTTGCTTAGAAGCAATATTACAAAATAGTCCAGAAGCAAAAATATTCTGTTTAGTACATAAAATGGATTTAGTACAAGAGGATCAAAGGGATTTGATATTTAGAGAAAGAGAAGAAGATTTGAAAAGACTTAGTTTGCCCCTTGAATGTACTTGTTTTAGAACTAGTATATGGGATGAAACATTATATAGGTATATCTTCACTTAACTATATAATGATTTCAATTTATAATATTTTATAATTTTACATAAATTATTATATTTTTAGAGCATGGTCTTCAATCGTATATATGTTAATTCCAAACGTGAAAGAACTCGAACAAAGTTTGAAACAATTTACAAATATTATTGATGCTGATGAAGTACTTTTATTTGAAAGAGCAACATTTTTAGTGATTAGCTATTGTCAAAGACAACATCATAGAGATGTACATCGATTTGAAAAAGTATCTAATATAATAAAACAATTCAAATTGAGTTGCAGGTAAATTGCAGAAATAAAAGTAAAAATCAATATAAAAATTGGTTTGAATATATGTTTATAAATCATATCTTTTAGTAAACTGGCAGCACAGTTTCAAAGTATGGAAGTTAGAAATACAAATTTTGCGGCTTTTATCGATGTATTTACATCGAATACATATGTAATGGTTATTATGTCGGATCCTGCTATTCGTAAGTACTTATAATTTTAATTTTTTTTATAATGAATAATGAAATACTTATTTTCGTATTATTTCAGCATCAGCAGCAACATTAATCAATATTCGTAATGCCCGAAAACATTTTGAGAAACTAGAACGTGCTAGTCAAAGTTCAGCATTAAGTAGATAGAAATCAGCTCGACCCAGGCGCGTTGTCACCCGGGTCCAGGCTGTTAATCATTATTGAATCTAAGAGTCATTTTAAAAGAGAATCATCAAAATAAAGGTGAAAAAAATAAGAATTTTTTTTCTTTTTATTAATTAAAATAATTTTGTTAATGAATAAATAATTTCAACCATTATAATAAATATTATTCTTAAAGAATGATATTCTTTGATAAAAAATATTTTAAATTATTCATATTTTATTTTATATAAAAATTAATAAAAAAAATTTATTAATAAAAAATATTTAAAAATTTTGACATATATGTATATTAATAAATAAATATAAATAAATATCTATTATATGTCATTACCATATTAAGTGAAATATATTGTTATTCACTTATAATAAATAATCTCTTGGCTCTTAGATAAAACATGGTTTTCTAGATTAAGCATTTTCCTGGTTTTATAATATTACGTATAGCGTTCTTATTTCTGTATAGTAAATCTGGCCTGTTATGAAAACATATATTTTTTTAAATTATATTATATGTTTTAATACAACAATGTATATACTTATTATACTAACCATGTCATTATAACAATTAATAAATAATTGTCTTTCAATTTAAATGATAGTGTTAAATTATGTTATATTTTGTATAAAATTTTGATCAGTATTTTTTGATATAAAATGATATTGAACTTGTTTGAATTTTTTTATAGCTGTATTTATGGAAAAATAATAAAAGAAAGGGAATAATGAAGTCTTATACTTTTACATGTATCATTAAACTATATTTTTTTATTATACAAATAAGTAAAATGATCATTAAACTTAATTCTAATATTCTATTGAAATAAAAAAAAAAAAGAAATGTTACGTAATATTTATGAATACTCAACTAGTCTGAAGATATATTTAAAATTCCCGCCATTTGTGCATTAATGGCGAATTTGTGAGTGTCATTCTTTTAGACTAATAAAACAATTTAGATTTTATAGAGTTTGAATATGGATAAAATAATTAAAGGAATAATGAAATATAGAAAGTGCCATAGGGAAGAAATGGTGAAACAATTTCAAAAAGTTAAAGACTGTCCTGAAGTATGTAAAAATTATTTTATCTAATTTAATGTTAATCATTTATAAATGTGTTTATTTTTTTGTGATATACTTTTTATCTCATGATATGTTTATTTTTAAATTATGTTATAATGTTTATAATATTTTGACATTTATAATGAAAAATATATCCTAAAAATATAATAAAATTTAAATAAAATAAATTTTTTTTATCATTTGTAAAAGGACAAGTTTCTTTTGAATATGATTTTTTTATCACATTTATTTTGAATATGATTATCTTATTTATGTACGTCTTTGAACTAAAGAATCATTTACAAAAAAAACATTGCATTTATTCTAGAAGATATTATCATGCATGAAAATTATATTAATTATATAATATCTATTTAATTTATTTAAAAAATATATTCATCATTTATATTGAAAGAATAAATAATATATGTCGCAATTAACACAAATTACATTTTACTAATCTAAAGTACAGTACTAATACTTACTAATATAATCGATTTATATACGTCGTTACTCTTATCATAGCCAAAAGCAGCATTCTTTACCTGCATGGATTCCCGGATGATTCCAACTAGATTTACGGAAACAAATGTTGGAGACATGTTTGTTGGTACGAGATTTCACGATGACATTATATTCTCGAATATGAAACTTGTTTTTTTGGTAATTTCACGATGCAATTTAATGATAATGTTATTGCAACATTTTTTATATTTGTACTTAAATAAGTATTTTTTTAATTTTACTAATTAAATAAATATCATATTAATGATTGGAAAAACAAATATTCGATTTCAGAATAACGAAATCGAAAATGTATTTTTTTTTCCTATAGATAAGTTTTATCATAAATTTTATATTTTTCAGTAAGAAATGCTGGTAATATTATTCCTCATTCTCAGCATTTTGAGGACGAGTTAGCAATGTGTGAACCGGCAGCCTTAGAACTTGTTTGTTTGATGAACGAAATAAAACACATTATAGTTTGCGGCCATAGCGATTGTAAAGCTATGAATATGTTATATTCTTTGCGTGAGGAAGAATTAGCATCGAAAGTATATACTTAATTAATTTTATTATTATTATTTTTAAATTTATTTTGCGAATTTATAAGATATAATTACAACATAGTGAAATTTATTTTAAATAAATATATTTTAATTTTAGGTAAATAGAAGGATATCGCCATTAAAAGCATGGCTTTTTGCACATGCTAGTAGTAGTTTAGCGAGATTTCAACAGCTTGAAATCACTGATTTCCGTGACCCGATACTTTTTCAAGGTGAGACATCTTTACGAAAATTTGTGGCTTATATTGATCCTGAAGATAAATTCAGCGTAGAAGATAAATTATCTCAAGTTAGTATAAATACTTTTAAAATAAATACAAATTAATCAAATTTAATCTGTTATACGTACATATATATTTTATGCACATATTTAATTACAACAAAGTGAAATTTATTTTAAATAAATATATTTTAATTTCAGATAAATACCTTACAACAATTACAAAATATAGCTTCTTATGGATTTTTAAAAAAACGATTGGAAAGACATGATTTGCATATTCATGCACTATGGTTTGATATTTATACTGGTGATATTTATTATTTTAGTAGGGCAAATAAGAAATTCATAGAAATAAATGAATCAAGCGAAAAATCTTTACTTACAGAAATTAAAAAATATTATTCTTAAATTTTTTAAATCAAAATTATCTCAATTTATATTAATATCAATATTTTAATATTTATAATTTATATTTTTTTTATAGAAAATCATTTTTTGGTTAAAACTGAATTTGATTTATTGAATCTCTTATTCCAATTTGTTGAATCTCTATTAATCCAATAATTTTAAATATAGTTAATAGTTAAATATTTATTGAAATCTCTTGTTATGTATCTAGATATGGAAATTATAAATTGATTTTTATTATTTTCATTTATTATCTTTTTTTTTTTTTTAACTATTAATTTTTTATATTATAATTATCTTTTTAAAATTTAAAATTTTTACTTAATTTTACTAAATTTATACAAAATAAATTGATAATAACAATATATAAATTTATATAATATGCAACATAATTTTATTGTATATTATTATGCATATAGATAAAAATTTTATATAATATAATAAAATAGATAATAATTAAAGTAAAAAATATTTATTTCTTGATAAAATATGTATATATAATTACAATTGTTGAAATGAAATATTATTTTTGATATATATTTTATATATTGTTATACAATATTGTTATACAATACAAAGTTTATTTGTAATATATTTGTAATTATTTACATAATAATATATACTTTTAAATTATATATATATATATATAATTGTATATATTCACTGTGATAAAAATAAATAAAATATATTTGTTATTCTTGTTTGATTCATATAACGATTCACTTCGCTTCTTGCCGATTTGATTTAATATACTTTACATCTGAATTGTATAAAATCGAAGTCATGGAATATAAGCCAGAGGACGTACTGATGGATGGACGGTTTCGTGGCCAGGCGAACTAGAGCATGCCACTCCCGAAAGAGAAAGCAAAACAACGAACTAAAGTGTAGAATTAGGATAATAATAAATATGATATCAGAAATTCGAATAAATTTGATGCAGTGTATATTTAATAAATATTAGCATCATAAATATAATTATATAAATATATATATATATTTTTTAAATAATGTAGTTTTTTTATTATTAATATTATTTATTAATATTAATTAAGTAAGATTAAAAATAAAATTAGAACATTATTTTATTTATCTAATATTAAATAAAAGCACAAAGTTACAAATATATCTACAATCTGTGATTTACAATTTACAATATGAAATTTAAATCATAAAAAAATTCTAAAATATGTTAATTGTTTTTAAACTTTTTTATATAAAAATGAATTGTCAACTATTTTAAATTAAAAACAATATACAAATATTTTCAATGCGAGCATCAAAGAAATTTTTGCAAATTCAAAAATTTTTAATTCCATGTGGATAAAAATTCTATAAATTATCGGAATAAAAATATCTTTTGTTAATTTACGAGTAACTATGTACTTACATATCATAATTACGGCACGAGGCATGCATATATTTTAGAAACTTGTGACCAGATATGAAAAATAGTTCGCACTTTTCAATGTGTTTTATAATATATAAAAATAGTAGATAAAAGTGAAGAGGATTATTCTGTCTAGACGAATCGTCGAGTTGGCTCCGTTAGGTCAGTTTATGCGATGAGTCCCGGTATAGTTATAGTAAATCAGAAGGTGGGAGATCAGAGAATCTCTTCAGTCTTCGGATATATGCGTTCTTTTTTCTTTCCAAGATCTCGCACCCCATGAATCGCTGACATACTAACCTAGAATATTCTGGGGTATCTATCATGAAGGCAAAGCGTGCTGTAAATATAATACATGTTCTACGTTAAAAAGTAAAATCATCATGTCTTTTATTTTTCACGTAAGCAAGATTCAGAGCGAAACATTTTTACAAAGTGGAAAATTCCGTACGTTCAAGATATGTGACTAGATTGTGCATTAAAAATCATATATATTGGATACGATATAATTATATTATATTGTTATTTATTAGATATTGGATTGATTTTAATAAGTTATGAATCCAAAAAAATCAATTTTTGTATTAAATGGAAAAATATTTTTTGTACATATATAATTATTTCTTAATTTTAATTAATTCAAAAAAAAAAAATAATATTAAAAAAAATTTTACGATAAAATAATTTGATTTTTCAAGTTTATTTCTTTTTTTTTTT